GACCTCACGGCCAATGCCTTGCATTGATGATGTGCACAATAACGGGTACCCCTTCAGGATTATCCTTATCACAATCAAATGTAAGTTAAAGTTATCAGGCTCTTTGTATTAGTTTTTACTTATTCCATACAAGATGAGTTTTCAAATAACTGTTTTTTTTCCCACTGAAGTGTATAGATTAGGCCAAAAGAGTATTTTGCAAATATAATAATTTTCACTTGCTACACATTTTTTCACATTCTCCCTAGCTGTCACTGACAGACCGACTTTACTCTACTGCAGATAGAAAAAACTTCAAATAGCATATCAGACTGGTGAATGTATATGTTTTGGCAGGTTGAAACAATTGTATGCAGACCAAGGAGTAACTATGCCCTTCTCACCAAAGATGACAGCTCAACTGGACTGGAATAAAAAGGAAAAGAGAGCGCCTCCATCGTGTAAAACCGTTTTATCATGACGATATAAAAGGAGTAAAAAACATACTCAAAAGGAACTTGAGTAAACCAGCATATAATGTGTATCGGTAAACACAGACACCGAGATCGTGAGGCTCCAACACAGCCGACAAACTGCATAGCCCTCTTGGTTGACGCGTTTCAGAGGACACGCCTCCATCTTCAGAACCAAGAGGGCTATGCAGTTGTATTAACCAATACACATTATATGCTTGTTTACTTAAGTTCCTTTGTGAGTATGTTTTTTGCTCCTTTTATATCGTCATAATAAAACAGTTTTACACGATGGAGGTGCTCTCTTTTCCTTTTTATTCCAGTCCTTGTGGTTACCCCAGACCAGCGTGAGCAGCCTCCAGAGTGCATCATTACACCTTTTCCACACAGGTATTGGTGCTGGCGCCTGTTGTATTAACTCTTTTCCTAATTTGAGTAAGGGCCTATTCACATCTTGGTGTTTCAATAACACGCATGAAAATGCATTTGCCATGGATTGCGTTAAAAAAAAGTCAGATGCCCTTCTTAGTGTGTTAATACAGTGCACAATATATTATTGCAAAGCATAGTCTGATGATTTATGAATGTCATAACATTTTAGAAAAAAAAAAAAGGGGCTGCAAATAAGTCTTGTCTCAACTGACCTTTTACATTTGTAGACTAGACCCTTATTCTGGAAACTTAAAATTTTACAATTGTACACTTCAAATGATAAAAAAAAAAATGATTGGCAAATTTCAACTAGGTCAAAACCATGTTTAGATTGCCAAATTCTCTGCTTGTATTACAATAATTAGGAAACAGAAACGTATATGATGGGAAATCTACTTTAGAACGTTAACATACACCTATCCATATTCTAAAAATGGGAAAAAATCAAAGAAATCATTGATAATAACTTAATTTAATATTATGATTTTGTAAGTTCATTTAAACCATTATTTAATTTTTTGCTTAAATTTAAATTAAGATTTAAAAAAATTGAAATACCATAAGTTTTCAGTAGTTTACCTATATAAAGGCTGGCATCCTAATGAACCTAAACATAGTATATGAGACATGAATAGGCAATTAGATACAATTTATAGTAAAGATAACTGCCAGCTCGTCTATGTATGGTTAACAAGTGGACAAAAATACATTTGTACCTGTATTTCTCTGAAATGACACTTGCAAGCTCCGAGTCATTTACAAAATAGCCTGCCCATAATGTTAGCCCAGGGAGTTTTAAAGACATTTAATGCATGAGTTCTAATCTACTAGATATCATTTGCTTTTCTAAGAAAATACATGTTTGGTTTGTGTAATAAAAGTCACAATATTATATAAAGATTTGTTGAGAAAGTTTTCTTGTTCTATAAAAGTAAATCTGAAGAAAATGCTTCTTCAAAATCTAGATGAGGACGTGTAATTGTTATACTTTCTATGTGTATCATGTATTTGTTTATTGTTAGAATTTATGTTTGGGCTGCGTGATTAGAAACCAAATGGAATTGTGCTTATTTTTACATATGTTAACAAGCTGAGGACACACACACTCATTTCCACGCTCTCCATAAAACAAATATAAATACATAGCTTTTTAAGTAAATTTAAAAATCTGGTGATTTTGTATTTCCATTGTACCTCTCTAATGTGATTCCTTTCTTTTCTAAAATTAAAATAGTGTATATTTAGCCCAAGCCTTTCCCTTTTAATTGGAATACATATTTATTCCCAATTACTTTGCATTGTTCAGGACATGTGGAAACCATGCATTAGGAAGCAATATGTGAGGGTTTCAGTGGAGTGCACATCCTGCTGTCCCTAAAAAGATGATCATCACTGCAGCTATGCCAACTCTAATAACACAAAGGAATGTGTTCTAATTAGCATGCTCGCTGGAGTGTTTTCTTTTCACAGCAATATGTACATGCAGCTTGGGAGGCCTTGGACATTTTAGCTGCCTGTGGACACATTTCTAATAATCTCTAGTATCTGCTACTTGGCTAAAGCAAAATACATCTAGTTATAAAATGGGGAAACACAGAAGGGAGATCTGTTTATTTTCAATCTAGAAAGTATTTTCTAATTTATTACAAAATTAGGACTTTTCCCCACTTTCTGTGGCTTTAAAAACAACAGGCACACCTTGCTGCAAAAAAAAAAAAAGAAAATCAACAAAAAAGAAAATAAAGACAACTACACCTTAGCTTCAGTTCTGTTTAAGGCACCATGAAATAGGCGAGGTACTGTGATCCCTGATGTACATTCTTAAATGGCAATGGTGTGTCTAGCCACCTGTTCAAACCCTACACAAATGGGGACAAGTTCCAATGAGGTGTGCCAGGTACACTGCCTAAAAATATATTACATGCACTTTACTCTTTTTTCAAACTTTATCCTACTCACATTAATTTAGCAGTCCTTGATGCCCTGGTTATAATATAGAAGAGCTACATTCAAACAAGCTTCCTTTAAAGCACGAGTCCTACTGATTTGATGTATCTTGGTGTTTCTCTGGTGCAAAATGAAAAATAAGACATAAAAATGAATGTGCCTACCCGGTTAGGTTTACACAACTAGGTTTATATAATTTAATGGGACTTGATAAAATACTTTCTAATTAGTTTTGTGCATAAAAGACAATGCTTCCAATATAAAATGGCCTAGGGATGGTAAAATGTAAGGGTACAGTTGATAATACTGAGAAATGGCATGATATTACTGGGTGCATTACCAGGCATGAAAGCCAGCAGAAAAAGGACAAAAAGTATTAACTGTACTAGTAGAGAGCGCTGATAGATCAAATTCCCATCTCATAAATAGATGCATAGTAAGACAAAGCTTTCTGAAATCCTTAGAGAAATTCCAATTTCTAATTCCCAAATCAAATGTTAGTGTTGTATAGAAAAAAAAACAAAAGTCCAAAAAATAAGAGGCAATCACTAAGGGTTAGAGTACTTTTGTTCCATGTTCACACTTAAAACTACATGAGCATTACATGGCACCTAGGTTGAATCAGTCCTACATGCCAAATGAGCTCAGTTCAACCTGCAGTAAATAACACAACCAGATCTCAGACAAAATATATAGGAACCTAACTGTGCTGGACATCTAAACTATAAAATATTTTTTTCCCCACATCTAAAATGTCCTATGGAATTAATGCACATTAACATAAATAATGACAAAAATAAAAACATAGGTTAATTATTAATAGTACTTAATAAAAATGAAAAGTCCTTGTTAAGGATGGGCACATGGTCGAGATCCAGACAACAAAGTTATAACGGATGCAATAAAGAAAGCTTGATTGAATAATAGTCTCTAAAAATCTCAACCTTGGTATCATGAACTGCAGTTCTAAGAACCTGTAATAATAGCAGCAGAATTAACTACTGTTATGACATAGTTTCTGGAATAGCAGGAACACAAACCTATGACATTGGTCCTTGTCTATTCTGCACATACATGTCTTTAACCCCATCTTCCCTGAGTTGTGAGTCTTGACATGACACTCTTTTGGTAATATCAGATTAGTTTCCATGTACTTCATCTTGACTAAAAGGCCATCTCTACTGTGTCATTTTGCACTGCTTCAAAGATCCCATCAGGGCTGAAGAGGTTAAAGTTTATGCTAGGCTTAATCAGTAAGAAAAAAAGAGCAATATGCAAAGGTCAATAATACCAAGCAACAAATCAGAAATCATTGTTGTGAATCCAACTCCATTTTACTGAAATCTGATTGGTTGTTTTTGGTTACTGTACTTTGCATGTCATCATTGTACTTTGTGCAGTTTTACTGAATAAGCCCAGATTTTGGTGTTATTATATCTCATACCTTCAGTTATCAGCTTTATTTAACAGCATATAGCATTTGTGCAATAGTATCCAATGCACAATCAGTAGTATCTTAATAGTGTAGCTGAGGGTGCACTAAGCTGAATAAATGTTACGGAAAGATGTTCGCCAAGTGACCCTCAGCCCTTACAGACGTCTTCCTAACACAGATGGATACAGTTAACGGAAGTTGTTTGCGTTGTTCACTGTTAGACAAAAGCATACTTTTTTCACAACTTTAGCATACTGCACTGTTTCATGCAGGCCGTGATAGTGATTTGTAGGGCACAACAAAGTTGCTTGAATACTCCTTCACACAACAGAACAGCCAAAATGTTTACCTTCATAGGTATAAATATCTTATCTTACATAGATAAGTGGATTCCCAAAATAATTGTCATTCATCTGCTGCCGCACCTTTTTTCTCCAGTGTAAGTGATCAGGATTTAAAAAAAAAAATGTGCAACTAATAAAATAACAATACAACCCAGCAATAAAATAGATATAAAAAAAATCCAGTATTAAAACAACTCCAGTGGGACGTCAAGGAATTAGGAATTGTGATACAATCTGCTTTAAACAATAACATGAATAAAATCATATAAAAACAACAACGTTAACACCAAGCACAAAGAAAAACATGTTTGTACACTGAGAAAAGTAGAGGAAAGTGTGCTTGGGGCAAGGTTGACAAAGAAAGTTAAGGTCACAATAGGAAAATTTGACAACAGTCGACCTTCAGGCGTATTCTGTGTTTCTGCCATACTCTTAAACCCATCATACATATATTTATAAACTTCTTTTTGAAAATCTTTCATATTCACTAGACTGCAGTGTAGGTATTCCCAGTGGCACTGCACTGTCTGATGGTCTGAGTGCTTGTGACAATGTGCTCGCTGTGTATTTGGTTCAAAACCAGGCTCTGTTGAACGCTGCCCTCTAGTGATGGCTGCATACAGCCCACCTGGTATGCCTGAGCCAACTCAGTCTTCTCCCTCTTTGCCGGTGGCTCTCCACAATCATCCATTTCCTCTTCCATTTCACTGTCCACCTCACTTCCCTCATCTGCACAAATAAACAGCCATTAAAATACAGAAACATGCCAAAGCACATATGTAAGCACTAACAGAAATTTCAAGAAACAATAGGTCATATTATAAGCCCAGGACAAACCAAAACATTCTCTTCAGTCTTGTATAGAGTGGGAACACGTTATTGTTATGTTTTATTGCGGTCGGTGCCCCTGGAGGGGATATTTACCCTAACTTCCTGTTTCTGTGACAGTGTGTGTAGATACAGGACTGTGCAAACTTTTTAGGCACTTGTGAATAAGTGCTGTAAAGTGAGGGTGATTTAAAAAAGAATGCAACAAATAGATTTTATTTATTAACCAACAACCTACAAAATACATAACTAGAAAAAAATGAAAATCAAATCAATATTTGGTATCTCCACCCTTTGCATTTCACCCATTTGCTGCCAACGCCATACAGTATGTTATACTACACCAGCAGCATTGTGGGTTTGTGTAGAAACAGGATTGTTTACAGCCAACTGTTAGATGTCTAGTTGAAGTGATTCCGGTTGCTAGAAAGCTGCCTCATCACTTCCACATGTGCAGTAATATGCCGGGTGGAGGGAGCCCAGCGAACATCCAAACGTTCAATGAACGTCCGTTTGCTGATCTCCTCTAGCTAGAATGAACCCAACCTGTGAGTGATTGGTGTTCCATTTACTTAATTAGAGGGCAGAGGTGACATTAAAGGTCTGATAGAACCTGATTTCTCCTTAAAAAGAACCTGTGCTATTTCTTAGGGGTTTGTCAGCCCCCATGTGACAGCAATAATAGTTAAGTGAAAAACGTTTTAACATGTAAAGTTTAATAAAACGCAAAAAAGGAAAACCCCCCTACCTACATACAAACTCAAACATACGTCTGGTGCACTTGCGTACAAAACCCACGCTAGTGCCACATGTTAGGCATTGCTGCGCATGCTGGAGTGAGAACAATAATTCTAGGGCCATCACTAATGGTTAATTCTAAAGTGATGAGCTGTAAAGGCTTTTAAATTGTCCCCTATGGGCAATTTTGGGTACAGCAGTTTTTCCCCATTTAATGGGTATTTGTGTGCATTAAATTAATTTAAATGCATTTTTACTGAAAATTTGAGTTGGATAAACACCTGTGCTAATATCATGGGACATAACAATTGCAACTGCCACCAATCTTCAGGAAAAATAAAATGTAAAAACAGCTCTGGCAGCAGAAGCGGGTAAAACAGCACCCATTCACCTAGGTTCTCTTGTCAACTGTTTTTTTTTTAAAGGCATAATCCCCCTTTTGCAAAAAAGTATTAAATACACCAACATTGATCATCACTGTGCATTTACTACTTTTTTGCATGAAGGCCTGCAGAGCATTGCACCTGCAATCAGTGTATTGCACAGACTCCCTCAATGTTCACCTCCATGTTCTGGTTCATATGGAGGTACGGACCTAGCTTTAAGAAGTGCCACTGAACTACAGAGCAGTAAGGTAGGAGGTATACCCCATCTGCTGTGCACATGTCCCATCTGCCGCGGTGGCAGATGGGAATTTTTGTATTGTTGGTAAACTTTTGATGACACAGCTGTGGAGCCACTTACAGCCACACTAAATTGAAATAACAATTTAGGTAAGGATGGGGGTGTGTTTCAGATTTGGGGGATGTTGTATGTGACCATGTTTCATGTTACACTCTAAATATGGGTGTAACATAAAAAAAGGTCGAATAGGTGGACCACGCCGTTAAGGATCTTGGCAGGTGGGTTGTTTCAAACATCTAGGAAAACTAACCACAGATCTTCTGTGGCTTTAGCCTGTGTCAGTTGTTTCTGTCTCTTCATGTAATCCCAGACAAACTCAATCATGTTGAGATCAGGGCTCTGTAGAGGCCATACCATCTCCTCCAGGACTCCTTGTTCTTTTAGCTGAAGATAGTTCTTTGACTTTGTGTTTGGGGTCACTATCCTGCTGCAGAATGCATTTGGGACCAATCAGATGTCTCTCTGATGGTATCGAAACATGGATAAGTATCTACAGGTACTTTTTAGCAATAAGGAGACCATTCATTCTCACCAGATCCCCAACTCCATGTACAGAAATGCAGTCCCAAACCTGAAAGGAATGAGCCACCAAGCTCATTCTCTGTCACTTTTGGGAATGGCAGGAGAAAAGGATTTCACAATGAGAACCAAAGAGTGATCATTTTAAAGCTGCAACAAGAGTAGATGATTACCTTTTTCCATATTACCAGGAGATCCATCGGTTAAGTCACCAAACTACAAGAGGAAAACAGAAAATATTTTTATTCCATACTATCTATACACAAGGGTAATTTTGTGTACACCTTTTATTATTTGGTAAAAGTACAAAATATGAGGTGCCAAAGTAACAGAATCACTCTATCCACATCCCATTCACCGCCTAAAATGTGCTGCATTCATTTATATTTTTCCTATATAAGAAGTAATTTGCTAAAATCCAAAAACTTTATATATTGCAGCTTACCAATCCCTAAATATGGTGGCCCTTTTTTATTTTCCCCTGGTGATCAGTGACCAGTAACACATTTCCTGTCTCAGGGAGTAGCAACGGAGCCTCCCTTACGACAGCAGAACTGTAACCCTGTGGGAAGGGTAGTGATGGATGCACTAATAGATTTAGGTTAACAACTAACAAAATAAATCTGAACTCTGAAGCAATTTTCTATTTTGAACTTCTTCCACCCTTTATCTTCAAGACAAAAGAATATGATATTAAAAATCATATTTAACACCTTACAAAGTGTTCAAATAAATATGATTTTTAATATCATATTCTTTTGTCTTGAATATATAGGGTGGAAGAAGTTCAAAATAGAAAATTGCTTCCGTTCTCAAAAATGTGTTTAATTACAAAGTTACAAATGATTACAAGATAAATGGCATGAAACAAAATATAAAAATAGTTATGTAAATGCATAAGTAAGTTCTTGTAAAAGTTTAGTGTGTGTATGTCTGCCTCGTCCATCCGCATGCAATAGGTCCCTTTTTCCTTTGTGAGAATGTCCCGCCCTTCTACGGGACATATAGTCCTCAGCTGAAATCTGAAACTCTTAGACCACTAGTAGGAGTGGGGGATGGGAGGAATGCCCCACCTTTTTCTTGTCTTAGCTATAAGTTAAAATGCATTCAACTATCATATAAACAATATAATGTTGCATGACTTATATGTAACCATAAATGTAACAATAAGTTGGCCAAACATTTGATAGGACCAACTGGGTATAGGAGTAAAAAGATAGCTACACAAACGGTTGTCTATAAAAGTCAGAATACTTATGTCAAGAGATCAAGATGTTAAAATGACAAAATGTATTGACCACTCTACGTTTAAGGGAAGTGGGTGAAAGTTATTTAAACAGGTTGACCTAATGGTCTTGAAATAATTTCACATCTATCCTTGCATACACATCAGTCAGCCTACAGATCACAATCTGTAGATTTGTGCAAGAACATTTATGAATCTATATATATATATACATATATATTGTGAGATTTAGCTTAAAATGGTAGCACATTAAGGACTCTTCCACTCGCTTATGACTTCTTTGTAAAGGCTTCTGTGCCCACTTTTATTTAATCCAACTCAAAAGACCACACAGGTTTTCCCTCACAGGGGTTTTCAAACATAACATACAGCTTTTCTTCAGCCAAATTAAGACTTTCAAAGTCTTACAGACTTTAGGCTGTCTGTTTACAATACCGGCTGTATCCAATCCGCCTGCCACACAGGCTAGTCTTTTACCACACAGACTGCTTTTCAACACACAGGTGATACGCTCCTCAGTCTGCCAGACACAAACTGGTTCCAGGGTGGAGCCCTCCTGACTCCTGCACAGAGACCTCCTCTGTCTTCCAGGTGGAACCCTGAACCTGAACCAGCATTCTTGTCATAAGGGCTGTGTACAGGTGCACCATCATTTAGTGCTTGTCACCACTAAAGCCCGGACCCAGGAATGGAGATTTCATCCCTCCCAGTTCTCTTAGACAGTGTCTATTAAAATGAATGTACTGTTCCTTTCTTAATTTACAAAATTTTAGGAATATAATATTGCATGAAATGAAAGTTAGCAGGTGGAAAATTAAAGTTTTTTTTAAAAATTTTGGACAGATTGGGCAAGAATTTGAACCCCTGTTGGGTTTTTACTGATACCCGTAGCCCCAGTAGAAAGATTTCCTTTTACATACTGACCCAGTGAAAACAGTTTCAACAGGAAGTGAGGGAAAATCTGCAACAGCAAAAGAGTCCAAAAAAAGTAAAGTAAGGGTATAACTAATGTCAACTTTCTATTGCTACGTAGTGCACGGATGTTTGTTCTGCAATCCTTACAGCGTATGGAACCAGTAACAGATATGGTGGTAATAAATACGGATGGCGCTGTGCACCTTCAAGTTTAAGAAAGTAGAGGATGACCAGCACTCAAGAAGATATTGTTTAAATCCTTGTGTTCATTTATTAGATGCCACATACATCAGGGTGACATAGTGACTTTGTCGCCCTGAAGAAGGGACCCTGTGTGGCCCCGAAATGTTGGCTATCTGATGTATGTGACGCTGCGTTCTAATAAATGAACACAAGAATTTAAACATTATCTTCTTGAGTGCTGGTGATCCTCTACTTTCTTAAACTTTCTATTGTGGTCTGTGCACCTGCTGCAGATATTTTCTTTCTTCCTTTCTAGTGAAACCACTGTATTTGTGAGAGTAGATGAAGGGAAATCTCTTGGAGTCCCTGATGGGAGTAAAACCTAGCAGGTGTCCTAATGGTTCCCCATTCTATCCAAAAAAAAAAGTTTTGGCTGGGGATTTAAATTAAACATGTTTACTAGGCTTAACCATATAATGCTATAACAACATTACCCTGTTGTTTACAGAGCTGAATAGCTAAAGCTCAAATTAAAAAGCTGAATGAGTTAGAGAAG